TGCAGCGGCCCCACGGCGCCCCCTGCTGCCCGCCCGCGGCCCTGCGCTCACCCGGCCCCGCCGCTCACCGCGGTAGCCCCGGGGCTACCAAAGCCGCTGCGAGATGAAAAATCAGCGGGTGAGAGCCCCGGCTGCTCGCCAGGCCCTCACACAGCCGCTGGGGCTCACCTCTGGGGGATAACCGGCAAAAAAAGCCATTAATTATCTCACAAGGGAAGGGCAGCTTTGACTGGAAGCTGGGTAGCCAAAGGGATTTTAATTTGTAGGTCGTTTTCTTTCAAAATGTGCAAGGTCAGAAAGCTCAGTAAGATCTTAAAGTGTTTGTCAGCAGCTGGGAAAACCTCAGCTCTATAAACACAGGCCTGTGGCAGGCAATGCGAGCTGAACAGGCCTCTCAACCCACATGGAGAAATGGGTCCCCTTTCTTCAGGGACAAAGCAACATCCACTTTCAACACCACTGTCGTACACTTGCTGACAATTCTGCCAAAACCCATGTATTTCTGAGCAAAGACCTATTTCTGAATCCAAGTGCTAACATCTCTCACTCAAACCCATGGACTCGGGATACACCCAACTGCCAAAACAGGCACAAGGATGTTCTCAGTGTAAACTGAAGCTGGCTAAAAAGGACTGCAGGGCTCCAAATGAATAAGGACGTTGGTGGCTCAGGCTGAGGCACCAGGCAAAATAGCAAAAAGTGGTTTTTAAATACAGAAAAATGGTTCACAGTCGATGCACTGAGTCACACTAGTAAAAGCTGGGCCTTAACTAAACCTCTCAGATGAGGTTTTCCCCACTTAAATAGATTTTCTATGCTCGTATGTAGTTCATGATGTTCAGTGCTGGAAAACCAGGAAAGAATCCTGACTGGGAAAGAGTCCCCAGGAGAGCTGTGCAAGTCCCTTTGTTTTTCAGAGCTTTCTGTAATCTCCAATTTGTTCCAGTGCTTAGAAAACAGTTCTGTGCTGACCAAGACAACAAGGCAGCTCACTTGGTGTTTTCTCTATTCTGGTTTCTATATTTAGGCTGCGAGCTGGCAGATCCCCACCTTCACCACCTTGGTTATCAGGAGAGCGTCTGCAAGGGGCCAGAAGCGTTTGTTCTGTCTGCAGTGGGAACACCATGGAAAAGAGCCTGAAGTCCCCGAGAAGGGATCACTCACCTCCGTAATAGAGTCCCGTGGCAGTGCACATTCGCCACTGTCCCTGATACATTCCTGCCGTGCTGGGGCTGCACATCTGAACGCTGACGTCTGCAATCTCCTGGGGCTCCAGGGACCTGACCATCACCATGTTGACGTGCCCAAACTGGTCTCCCCCGACATACTTCAGACAAACCCCCGGGGGCCACGCCTCTGTGCCTGGGATTAAACAGAAGAAAGAGTCACTGACAGTGCACCAGGAAAAGCTCTGTGTCTGTTTGTGTAAGACCGGGTGAAACACGCTCAGTAAAACAGTTGTGCAATTGTCGAACAGCCAAAGGAGCACCAAGACACGCACAGCACAGCCAGCAATGGATGCTGAAGGAGAACACAGGCTACAGATCAGGCTTAACTGGTCCATTTCGAGACCAGCAGGGCAATTTCTATTTCTGTTTGAATAATCTCCAGGTCTTCTTTACACAGAAAAATTCTCAAAGTCAGAGCGAAACAGCAGCCAAAAAATAATCAACGTAACCGACACGCACGTGCATTCTCCCAGTGCTAGAGACAACCACGAGGTCAGACCTAGGCAGGGGCTTTCCTCCCCCAACCTCATTTCTTTCTGCCTCCCTGCATCTAACTCCTGAGCCTTGCAAAATCAAAATGTATGCTGTATTAATACAAAGTCCTGGAAACATTTTCTTTCAGGGATTTATTCTTTTTTAAGCCTGTTAGCAGCCTCAGGAGGAACTAATGGTTTGACCTATAATTGAAGAGCTAGTACTATTTTTCTAAATGGATTTTATTTCCCTTCCTGCACCTTCCACCTTCTCTGAGCCTTGTGCTAAGGTGGAAAAGATTGTGAACATACGATTTATTTGTGGAGATCAATGTTTAGACTGCAGATACTGGGACTGACAGCGTGACCTGGCAATTTAGAGATACAGAAAAGCAGTTACTGCATGCAAGCTCAGCCATTGCCACCAAAGATAACACGTTCTGGGGCAGACAGAAAGAAAAATGCTTCTGAGACTTGTGAAAAATCGGTTTAGCAGAATTTTCTCTTGCTTTTTTCCCCAGTAATGGGACATGACTAAGCCAATGGCTTTCTGCCTGGGTGAGGCCGGTACCTTCTGCTTGCTTGAGGTCGATGGAAACAGCTAAGGAAAGCCTGAAGCACCAAGAATTTTGGAAGCACTCTACGTCCAGCCTGAGATGAGAACGGTGGATGCTGATCTGACCTCAGGTTACCCCAAGGAGCATCCCTTACAACAGCTTGCCTGCTAATTTAATCCCAGTGGATGCTGCAGCAAAGACACAGCAAGGACTGGTTTTCTAGTCAAGTCCTCATTTGTGGATTCACAATCTAGCAGGGAAAGCACGATGTGAGCAAGGAAAGTGGGACATTGAGTGTGTCTCACTGCAGCTGGAGACGGTGCTGAGGCAGGGAGGTCTTGGAAAGAGGAGCCAAGTGACTGCCTGACCTCAGACTACGGCCTGTGGGAGTAGAGAACAAAGTCTCATCTTAAAAGGTTGGCAGCCCAGCAACATGGTTTAGTTTAAATAATTTATGTGATTTTTATCGGTTTTAATGGCTTTAGGCTTGCAAGGTGCCTAGAACACTGCAACTGATAAGCCCCATAAAATGAAATGATGATTGTGTCATTCTATTTCAGTACACTCATATCTCAGGAGATGATAAACTGTAGTAACTGTCCTGCAGAGCCAGCAGCAGCTGGGGGGAGAGTGGGAAGAGGAAATAAGTCTGTTAAATCCTGCTGCTCTTACAGCAATGGTTCTACTACACAAACCGGTCTCTTGGCAGAGAAGCCAAGCACGGTCCCGGAAGGTATCAGAGCAGGGTATTAGTTTTTAATAACAGACAAGAAAACCTGACTGAACCCAGCTTACTGCTTGCACGCTTAAAACTGGCAGTGTCTCAGAGCTCCGCCTGTCATACCCGTCAGACACCAAAGGCTTCGGTGACACATGCCTCAGGTATTTCGTGTTCTGAAGTCATTTAATCAATGGCTCCTGTGGAGCTGTTAAAAACCTTGGCTTTGCTTCAGTTATCTACCTAACAAGCAGATACTATCTGGAAACACTACAGTCCTTTGATATCATACCTTAATTAAACCATAAAATGGTTTTAAAATGCTATGGTCCTCCTCAAACTGCAGAGTCATGACACAGTACATGAAGTTAAACGTAACTAAAACGTGCCTCGACAACACGGTTTCAACAAGACCTGGCCTCCAGCGCCACTGTCAGCGTACAGATGTACTTGTTACAAAGTTGGGCTTTAACCCACAGCGAAGCCAAAACAAATGTTGGCTTTGCCAGGCACTCGCGAGTCAAGATTAACTCCCTTTCCTCATTTCAGAAGGCTCACAGATTTCAGAAGGTCAAACATCTCAAGAACAATGAAACATTGCTTGAAGTAGGATGTTAAATTAAGGCTGAATTTGCATGCCGGGAAAAGTACAGAGGAACGAGAGAGGAAGGAGCCTGAGAGGAACAAGATAGGGGTGTAGTCATAACACAGAAATTAAATAGCGGAGAAACAAGACCTGTCAAGTTTACTACATTTGTAAGACTCGTACCTGTGACACAGTCATAAAAATATTGACAGTCAATTTTTCACGTTACTGGAGTTTAATTAAGCTACAAGTGTCACCTTTCCATTGTACCAAGTCAAACAAATGGAGGCAGGAAAAGTAAACTGAAATAATTAAACCTTTTCTCTAGAATACAGTCTCTATAAATTAATGCTTCCCCGTCATTCTCACCTCTCATGTCCTGATGAAATACTCCCAGATTTTTAGTAAGGTTTTAATCTCTGTTATGCTTTGATACTCAGCACAAATTTGTACAGTGCTCAAGTGCTGCAGTTATTTACAAGCTGAAGTACGAACACAGCTGAACTTTACTCACGATGATTCACGATATTATACCTTGTTGTGCTATCATTCTTCCTCACAGAAGTGCAAGCAGGTCAATTAAATTCAGACACACAGCTGAAACATTCATGCAATATCCTGTCATTGCAACACTTGCAGCCAAGGAATCCCGCTTTGTGTCCATGGATCTCATTTTCCTTTCTGACTCCATCCCAACAGATCAAGTGCTGAGAATGTGTTTTGCCCAGTCTCGCTTCCTGGATTCCAGTCACTGTTTTGACTTATTTCATGCTGGAATGTGGTCCCTCCAGCCTCACATCCTCTCAAAGGATGAAAAAGCAATTCTGTCAACAGCTTATTAAAAAAGTAAAGGGTACCTGCCAGGCTACCCTCGCACCGCTCCCTCTTCTCATAGATCACTGCATCGCTGCCTCCACAGAGAGCAGAATGGCCAAGTGACCGGGGTGGTCAGAGATTGGTGCGATGAAGGGCAGTGGTAACGTACAGGCTGCTCCACCACAGAGAGCAGAATGGCCAAGTGACCGGGATGGTCAGAGATTGGTGCTATGAAGGGCAGTGGTAACGTACAGGCTGCTCCTGAGCTAAAAGTCTTTGAGGTTCAAAGGCATCTCTTCACTGACTTAAAGATGTATTCCATTTGTTTGCATCAAGTGATCAGAAACATGAATAGGATGCTTTTCAGATCTATTTCCATTAAAAAACCCCAAAAACAACCCACAAAACACCCATGCTTCATTTTTCTTTTTTAAATCTAGAAGTTTCCTAGAGCTTTTATTTGTGTGGTAGCACGAGGAACAAGACTGGTGACCTGAGCTCACGTTTGTGCCAACGTGAGAAGGGGAATACACATAGGCTGGCAGGCAACGTCCTGCAGGAACAGCAAGGCTCTACTCCAAATTAAGTGCACACAAACCTCACACCAGCACCTCTTCACATCTGCCATCCCAGCACATCATACACACCACACAGGTTCTGCTACAGACCCCAAAGCCTTACCTGTGTTCTGTATCCTCCATGTTTTTGTAAACTGGGTATCAGGAGGGATGGACTCTCCTTCACCTATGGTGACATCTTCAACAAAGGACATGGAGGGTACGTTGATATTTGGACTCTCAAAGTCATAGTAGGCTCCAATGGCGGCTTGTAGATTCCTAGAAAGCAAAAAAAAATAAGCAGATTGTAACAAAGTACAAGCGGGTCAGGTCTTTTTCACAGGTTTACATGTGTCATCCTCAACAGTTAAGCAAAAGTTATTATTCAGACTCTATTAGCTCTGCTGCTTGTGTTTTTTAAAGTTTTTCTGTATCACACAGATTCTCCAACACAACAGAGCTCAAAATACAGCACCTTTTCTTGCCAAGGACACTACATTCGACCACTTTTCTACTCTGCTTCTTATTTTCACCAGAATTCTTGGAACTTGAGTATTGGAGACCTCTACCCCGTTAGCTCCTTATGAAATCTGCCAAAAAATTCAATACCTACTGAGGTCAGTGCTATGCAGCGGCACACAAACAGGGCAGTTTCTTTGTACCAGCCTTGTTCCCTGAGCTAATCTCAAAAGGACTGAACCTCTCCACTTTATTTTGGCACAAAAGGTCCAAAAGGAGCACAGGATGAACAAACCACGAAGAACACTCCCATGATAACTCTCAGGGCCAAAGGTAACAACTCAATCCTTGCCCCTTTTGAAACACACGGTCGTGTATGAGCCCGGAGTACCCTAAGACTATTAATTAATCATTAAAGTGCCTGCTCATCAGCTCTGGATAGTCACAACTCAAAGGAAGTCATGAACCACCAGAGTCAAAAGTTCTCACTGAATAAAGACAAATGACAGTGGAAGTCTGTGATATATTTAAGGACATTTGGAAAGCCACAAACGCTATTGATTCCTGAATCGTGGTGCAGCTGAAACTCATACGATAATTAATTTGAAATGAGGAGCAGTCAGACAGGAAGAGGATTCATGAGTCTGAGCTGCCGTTCCACGATATACTATTAAGTTATTATTTAAGTGTTTGGCAAGTCACGTAATTCCTCTGTTTACGCACGCCTGCGAGGTTGTGGCCCTGATTTACACGTTGTGAGAAGGTGCTGCGAGAATGGAGACGAGTAAAATCTCACCAAAAGCAATGGGGCATAACTGCTTTTTATTCACCGTTACGAAAACCTGCGTCGCTTTATTGAACAGGATAGAAGAAGAAAAGAAAACCACCAAACCAACTTCAAGAACTGGGAACCTCCACCTAAACCGAAGCCAGGCAGAAGGCTCGTGAGAACTGCATTATGTGGGTGCAGTGATATATTGCGGGTTTGTATTGTGTGGTGGAGCATCACGTGTCTAAAACCAACGCCAGAAAGCCAAGGTGAAAGCAAGAGAAACATTTGCAGCGTGACCCTGAGAAAGAGCAAACATAGGGCTTTTTGGACCGCTTGCCAGCTGGAAAGAGACTCGAAACAGTGAGCAAAGAAACTGCCTCCTGTTCAATTCCTACAGTGTTCAAGGGGAAACAAAATAATTTAAAATCAGACATTCTTGGATAAAATCAGAATTGCGTGGGAGAAATAGCACAGAAAACAAGGGGGACCCAAAATGTAGCAGGTGATAGCGCTGGAGCTGGGGTCAGAGGGGGTAATGGCAGCATTAGGCAGATCTGCAAGGCACGGGCACCAGGGACGGGTGGGAGAGGACCTAAACAACAGATGCACGGGTTTGATAATCCATCACGAAGGACAGAAGATAATCACGCTGCATTCCCCGCAGCAGTTACTGATGTCCTGCTAAGGCTGTGCGTGAGGAGGCACTGGAGGAATGTTCTGCACTACGCGGCCAGGGTGATCGATCGGCAAATCCAGCCCACGGAGGCCGACGGCCAGACCTTTTGCCATGAACACGGCACGGACTTTGAGACGGAGGGAAAACAAAAGAGTCACCGTGTAAAATTTCCACGTTGAGAACAATGAATTTCAGAGCAGAAACCATTAGTCAGCTTGAGGCATTTTCGACTTAGGAGTGTCAGGGCTATATTTAATACAGCCAGCTCAGTCAAATGCTACAGGAAGGGTGCATGTCACATTAGCCAATAAATAGAGACAAATGCTGTTTTACGTCACCGACCGCCTGTTGCTTATACACTGCACAAGATTTACATAACTCACAACAGGGCCGTGCCAAGAGACTCCTGTTCGCTCAACCAGCTAACACCATGAGCCAGAGCTTAGTTTTCACTGGGATTTCTTCCTGTATTACAGCAACCCAAGGCAAAAAGGTATTCCAAGAGCTACAAAAGACACCAACGCAGCTCTTTCTCTTCCTAATCCACTACATGAATACATTTTCAGACGTACTGCAACATCTCATAGGTTAGGATTTGGGAATCGGTAGCAATCGTTTTTTATTGATATTGAGAAGGGGGAAAAAAAAAAAAGGAAAATTCCAAGGGGAAGATTTCTACTGTAATTCTCTGCAAGGCAGCCTGCACTGGTTTTTGTTTGCTCGGCTGTAAAGACGCTTCTAAAGGTAGTGGGCTATTTGTGCACATAGGCCCTCTGCCAACTCCCTTCCCCTTCCCGGCTCATATTTCATTGCTTGCTTTGCCATTGGGAAACAGCTCCAGTCCTCTGCAGCCTTTAGTTAAAAGCTAACTAAAGGAGAACACATGCTGAAAAAACACATTTGCCACCCTTTTGCCATCAAATATTCGCAAAGCGATGCTCTCGCTCCCACCATTTTTGGGTTTTGTGTGGGACGAGCCCTTTTGCGTGTTCAGCTCCATCTTGGCCTTCCCACGAAACAATTCAAAGGAACCTTCCAGAAACTAAAGAGAAATTGAAAGTGGCAGGAGCCAAAGTCAGGATGACAAAGCAAATGTGACTGAAGTTCAGGTCCTTTGACACAGACAACCCTAGAGATAGCCACAGCGGCCGGGCAGCACTGCTCTGCTGCAAGAGATACCCACAGCGCCCACATTTTAGTCATGCTCTCTGCTTACACAACCAGCAAAGCCAGCAGCGTGTCACTGCTAGCTTTGCTGCAAGTCTTACCATGAGGCAGTGCTCCCTCTTCTTCCCTATCCCCAAAACCCCCCCAGTATCAGGTCAAATGCAGCACTTTGCTTTGGGGAAAATAAGCGTCATCTGCAGACACAAATGCATCTGCAACCTGAATATTTGCAGGTTATTGAGACCTAAGTAGTGCTTTCTACTATAGGCACAGCATTAGGTGACTTCAGAAGCAAATGCAAGTGGTTAATATGAGAGATGGCTTCAAGGTCAAACACACTTGAGGCCCTGAAATTTGTGTGTGTGTGTACATATATATATGTGTGTATGTATATGTGTGTGTGTATATGTGTGTGCATGTGTATATTTACACACATAAATATAAATATATAAACACACTTTTTTTCTTTAGGTCTTTACCCTTATACCCCATCTGTAACTGCACAGCACCGACCACAGATACTTCAAGGACAGGAACGAAGAGTCAGATCTCAGAGGAAGGTGTTATCATCTGAAGGCTTCTGCTTACACATCCAAGCCTGCTTTATTTTACTCCTCCGAGGTGTGACTCGCACCACACGACCCCTTTGCTCTCTGCCATATGAGATAAATTACTATTATAAACCAAACAGCTTTGAAATGAAGATGAGTGTGCCAAATCCAGCCGGTGTAATTTCCATGACTGATCTCTCCTAATTACAGGGATGGCCATACATCTCTTTCTTAACATAGCCCTTCAGGTGTCAGGCCTCCTTACCTTTCCTAAACTAAGCAATTTGTCCATTTTTAGGGCAGTCTTGGACTGCAACAGGACTCTGCCACACTCACAGAGCAGGTCTGACAGGATTTAGCCTCAAACTCCTGAAAAAAGCCCTGCAATCAGAAGTTAGTGCCCAGATGAGCCTGCTTAAAATCCACACAGCGCTCAGTTTGAGTGCTAAAAGAGCAGATTCTGGACAGAGAGGGGAGAAGGCAGCAAATGAAGGTTACAGCTCCGCATTATCAACCAAATCCCTGCCAACCGTGGGTATCCCACTCCTTCCTCTCCAAGGGCATCCCATGACCCATGTCAAGTGCTTTTCCAGCCAAAGAAAGTGTTCCTTTCCAGATCAATTCTCTTGCTCTGCTGCTTTGTTTCAGGCCTCAGGAGCTAAATTACAACAGTGAAGTTAAAACCTTCCCTGCTAATAGCTCTGGAGATGTCCCTTAACAACTCTTAAGTGTTTGCAAAGAGGTGGTTTATCTTGAGCCATTCTTTCCCTGCCCTGGTTTTTTTTTCCAGACAGCCTTTTGTTATGTTAAACCAATATATTTAGACAGTAATTACTCCCAATTAACTAGGTCACCACGCAGTATTCAAAAATCAAAGAAACTCTTCCATATCAGTTCACACACCAGAGGCCTCCTTACACAACCTCACTGTTGTGCAAACAAAAAGCAATATACAGGTAATTGGAAATATTTTTTTTAATTAATTGAATCAGATCCTTTTTATAGGAGAACGAAGAAAGCAAAGCACTGAGGCTTGCTCACTGCTGCCTAACACAAAGCAAGGCACATGCACAAAGCCTAATCCTCCTGTTCCCAATAAAACATCTGATTCTTTCAACATACACAAGTTAAGCATCTTGGAAGGAAAGCAATACTAACACAGGACACAAGGGACATCGGAGTCCCGGCAAAGAGATATTCCCAGAACAGGTAGAGGGAAAGTGAATTGGAGGAATCGTCTGTCATCCAGCAGCTTAACCCTCCCACACACCTCTCCCACCAGCCACCCTGCCTGGCTCACACAAGGAACGGTATTTTGGGTTTGTTTTCAATCCAGCAGCTTAAAGATCAGAACTCGAAAACAAAAAATCCCTTATGATATGCAGGTTGTCTAATGTATGTGGTGGCACATAAGAATTCCACTCCAAAATAACATTTACAGTAGAATGTAGCCACTTTATAATTAGCATTTTAACTATAAATGTTATAGGATTCGGTAAGTTTCCATTTGTTATCAAATTCTTTGATGAAATAAAGATTTTTTTTTTAAAAAAGATAATTTTTTGGGGTAAACAACCAAACTAAATCACAGCTTAAGCTCAAAATCCAGCAAGCAGATTTTGCTCTTACCAGCTCCTGCCCATTCCTATGGCCA